AGTACACCTGGCAATACAGCTCATCTCCTTCATGAGTGTGGAAAGCTCCTTGTCCCCTATCTATCTGCACACAGGAAGGTCCCCTGGGCTGAATCGTTTCAAACAGCCCATGTGGCGTCTGTGTCATTGAATGAAAGACGGAAACAAATAAAATGCAAAACATTTATTCGAGTGTGTTGTACAAAAAGTTTCCAGTCATAAAATGTATATTACAAATCATTGAAAAAGACAAGACATTTGGCATGCATATTCTAAAAAGAAAAAACAACACTTTGAAATGATAAAGTCTAGATCATTATGTAGTTTTCGTAAGTTCCACGTGAACATTTTCATCATTTTGTCTTTGTATGTCAATTTGCAACCTTTTTCACAATTCCTTATTTTAAAAACTTGAACCTTCCAAAAACTCATCTGCAGCAGCTGACCAAAGGTGATCAGTTAAACTTACCAGTGACCTAGAACCAGAGCTATCTAAATAAAGATTGTGTTAAAAAAATAAAAACACAATTCAAGTCACAAGGCATCACTGTTATGAAAATAGAGTTCAACTGAGAAGGTATTCTTGTGCCCAAATGGAAAGCATTTTGGCTTAAACTTGTTCAAGATAGCTTATTGCTTGTAATTTTAGTGTAATGATGATCTGGGTAGCTGGAATACATAACAACATCTACCTTATCAACACAAAATCATCACTTCATTAAAAGCTAACTAGAAAAATTGGAAGTTCCATAAAACCTGTTATTTTCCTGAACTCCAAGTCAATTCACTGTGCTATTCTGATCAGGGTCGTTCAATATTAAGCATCCTTTTCACTCTCTAGACCTTAGCATTTCAAGAAAGGCATTATGTTTACAAATAATAATCACATGTAAATATGGTCTTTATAAAAAAACACATCTGAATATTTTAAACTGGTTTAAAGCTAAGCATATTGAAGGGCAAATAAAAATTCTGTTTCCCAGGCCATTTTAAGTGAGAAAAGAAACTCTCCAATATAAATTGTTTTGACATTCAGCTAAAACAATGCTCTGAAAAAAATGCAATCACTATCTCACCTTCCACTCACTGGTTTACAACAAGGTTTTGTTTCCTGCTCACACAGGGTTTGGACCCAACAGTGGCAATAAAATCCAGTATCAAACATGGATATGCCGTTGTTTAGAGATAAGACTTTCAAAAGAAGATACAGAAAGACATAGAATGGCGTAACGGTGAGGAAGTGCGAAAAGTGGCTGCAAGAGATATAAAACACCCAGCATGAATTTTTTCAGCATCAAAATCTTTCTGATGCAAACAAAAGAAACAGATTCTTAACTATTCTGGGGTATAGAGAGGATTTCTACAAGCCTCTTGTAAGTAACCCCTGTTCAGGTTGCAGTTAAAGGGCCTTTATACAGGATAAGCATTAAAAAGAAAAAAAGGTGTATAAAAAAACCAGTAAGTTCCCTGAACTGAACGTGAGGTGACCTGTTGCTGAAGGATAAACAGGCACAGTAAGTGATGTCCTTTCACAGTATGGTCTGCTTCACACTGCAATACAGTTTTCATGACTAATGCAAGCTGCAGACAACCTCATCTGCTTTTACATTACAGGTCATGGGAAGCAGATGTTTATTTTCTTCCTGAGACTTTTGGTTCCTGCTACAAACACGAACTGTGCCGGGCAACTCTCATCTAATGGCAAACAGTGTGGACAACAAGCAATCAATGCATCAGTGTAAACGATTGTTTTTGTCAGGGCAAGCCCAGAGTCCCGAACTAGCTTAGGTAGACACATTGGGAAAAAAAGCTATGCAGCAACAAAGGAATCATCACCACTCTGTTACTTGGAATACATCACTGCAACACAAGAGCTAAAGTCACAAACACATAAGGGAGGGAAAAAAGTAGCACAAAATGTCAGAGGCTCTCTGTAACCGTATTTCACTCTGTGAGATGCCACATTTGATGGTTCTGCAGATGGATGTATTTGCTCTGACACAAGCATTTTCACATGGTATGAACTTAGGAGTAGGCAGTATGCCTTCATCATATTTTATATGATACTCTTATGATCTGCACAATGAAAACACTAGTTTAACTATTCTGCTGCAGGTATTCTGTTATTTCTTCCCCTCTTAACCAGTGAGAATAATTTAGGAATATTTTTTACTATTTCATCCACAATAAAATTGTTTGCTTATTTTTTCTGGAATAAGAACATCCATATGGGTAGTTACACTCAAGTAACTACTCTGAAAAAAAGTTATACTCGTTAATTCCCCTAATCAGAGAAGCCTTAAAATAATTTTCTCTTGATAAGTTAAATCTATTCCTACTTCAAGCTCTACACCTGGTATCAGACACTGGAGTAGAAATGCTGACTATCCAACTTCAAGAGTGGTTCACATACAGGATCAAACAGGAAGAGAGGGCAAGGGGACACTGTATTTGAATAAAAAGGTTTAATTATCCTTAAAAAAAAAAAAAAAAAAGAGACAGAAAAAAAACCCACCTATGCTTTTTGGTTTGGTAAAGCCAAAAAACCTTCCAGTATGTCACACCAACTTTAAAGGGATAGTGCCATTATACTGAAGCTTAGCATGAAAAGCAGGAGGAAAGGATGGCGTCGAAAGAAGCAGCACACACACATACACAAGAAAGTACGTGGAATACAGTAGTTTTTCTGTGTCTTGTAATTTACAGCTAGGAATTATTTCTCAAATTTTTTAGTAGCCTTTTAGAAAGCACTGTGGTGATAGAATCACCCACATTTATACTGTTGGCATTCAGCTTTTCCCTCAGTGTCAATCACTGTTTTATATGAACACCTGTATATACCTAAACACATTACTGAAGAATAAAATAAACTGTTTCCAAAATTAAAGGACACAGTTCCCAATCTAAGGACAAATTCTGCAGACTGTTACTGAAGGGCACCATGCTCATCACAGAAGACAGGCAAGCACCAGTCCATAAGGCTGCAAGAAGACACATTCCCCATACAGTAGTTGTTAAGAAAACTATGGCTCAGGTAGCAAGAGGTTTTCCTCGTTCAAGCTGCCTTTCCTAGCCCATTCTTTACAGGAGAACAAAAAAAAAAAAAATCACAAAAAATGCAAATGAACTACACACTCATTGCTTTAGTATTTAAGATCACAGAACAAACTTAAATTTACAGGACAATCTTGAAGAATAAGCAATCTGAAAACTGGCCAATGTTAAAAAAGAATACAGACCTTTAGAAAAAAGCAAAAAGCCCTCTAACATGATGTAAGTATATTATAAAAGCTGTGGGTCAGAAAGGGAAATGCTGTCCAGTGGCTGGAAGGTGCATTGCAAAAATACTTTTACATTGATTGCATTCATTTGCTTAAAAACAAATTTAGAAGAGGTAATTGATAACAGTATGTCTGAGAAACATAATTTCACAAGATACAATTTACAGAGAGATAGACATGATTTACTACATAGTTAACCTTCTACTCAAGCAGAGTGGGAAAATTACATTAGAAAAATGGCCAAGTACATCAATAAAGTTATCCCATTAGCCTGAACAGCCAAATACTCATACTGTTTTTTTGTAATGCATCTTCTAATAATGGGTTAGGACATAATTCTAAATTTCTATTCATTTAACTTCAGCAATTCAGTCATCCCACTCAAACAAGGAAAAGTAGCATCTTTTATTTATTTTTAAATGCTAAAATAAATCCGTAAGCTTAAAAAAAAACCCCTTTTATTCCCACCCTGCTTGCATTACAAAGCAATCAGTCAAAGCCACTAAACTGACCTTCTAGGTTATATCTGTCAGTCACAATATTGTTCAGAGAACGTAATGTCCAAAAGCCACCAAAAACATCCAAACCTCATAGCTTGTTTCATGAGTCTAAACTATTTGAATTACAAGATCAGAGTTCAAGAGTGGAGGTAAAAACAGGATTCTATGCTGGCATCAAATGGTATCCAAATTTTGTATCCAAACTAATAACTAGTGGAAAAATACTTTTGCTCATACAGTAGCCAATAGATTCTTTGGAGCAGTGAAGTACTTTTCCTAGTGCTTGAAGATATGCACTACTATATGAATACTAACCCTTATGGGAGTTATAGCCACAGAAATGCAGCAGAAAAAGCCTTAAGCTATAGGGACACTGTCAGATACAAAATGCATCATACTGAAATAAAAATCACCTGGTACTCATAAAAGCATGTTTTAAATAAAAAGCATTATTCTCCCTACACTCACTGTTAGACTTTACGTCAAGCATTTGAACACTGCAAAGCAATGTTTATGTCCTAAACAAAAGCAGTTCCTTTAAACTTTTTTAAAAATCATGAAACTGTTTCCATACTATTTTGCAAATAGCACTCCTTAAGATATCTGACAATGTCCCTTTGAATGTAAGAGAATTATGAACAAACTGCATCTAGCTCTGATTAAGAGAGTCAACATTTACACAGGATAACCTTTAAAATCACCTTTTAACATCTAAAATCCTAACCATTCTGTTTAATGCTGAATATGTCAAAAGCATTAAATCATGATGCTTAACATCATAAATACCGTACATCATAACTTGCGTCCATGATTTAACAAGGTCTCACCTGTGATGTCAAAATTCCCTGAACATAAACCTCTGGTTTTCACACTTCCATACCTTAAGATGGTATACATATTTAGTAAGCAGAACCCATTATTCTCCATCTTCTGAAATAATAATATGGAGCCAAGGTGCTGACAGACTCAGATGTTTTTACCACTAGGCTGTCAAACCCTAGAGCAGGACAAGATCCTGTGGTCCTGAGCCAAGAATATCTAAAACGCAGCTTCCCTTTGTTACTTCCACTGGTGAAGTAGCATTTTTAATGAACTTGAGGTCTATTTTTCCTAAGCTGGGCACTGCTGAGTATACCAGGCAAGATATTACCATTTCTGAAAGTATGGAGGAAACACTACTGTGAATCTCTTTTGGGGCCCTGCAGATGAACACGCCTTCTTACACTTTTGGTTTTTTTTTTTTTTTTGAGTTATCCTGGTTATATATGCAATTATAGATTTACCATACACTCAAGGAGTCTCATCCCATTTTAGCTAAAAATTTCTTTTCTGCTGCAGGTTTGTACGTAAGACTTTAAACTCTGTATGGGGAAAGATGATGTATTCCAATATAGTGTTTCAACAGAGAGGGAAAAATAAAGAAATCTCTTAAAAATTCTGGCAGTTTTGTTCAGTAAAGGTTTTTTTTTTTTGATTTTTTTTTTTATCAAAATGTACCAAGGAGTAAACTTCAAAGAAATCAGATGATGCATATAAAAATAGTTTTCAGTGGCTCTGGAGAGAAAGAAATAGCAAAAATAAAAGGAAATAAATGAAGAAAAAAAGAGCAAATAGTTTCTTTTTTCTTTCTTCACATCACTGAGCATCCTCTAGAGGTTGTTCTGGGATCCCCCTAAAATAAGACAGACAGTTGAACTCAATTCTTACTAGCTTTTGCTATTTAAGCCTAGACTCTGGTTATCATCTCAGTTTGTTTTTTTTTTTGTAGTTTAGTTATATTCAGGGAACATCACAACTATAGAGAGTGAACAGCACATGTCACAATCTACTGTCAGGATTAAGACACTGCTACTCTGGCTGTGGTTTTCCAGGATGGGTTGATTGGTCAATCTCCACACTTTCATCACTGATACAAGGTGACAACTGAAAATTGTGATGTCATTAGCTTTAGAACAGGAAGTTCCTTCCTTTATTTCAAAGGATGCTTCCATTTGAGAGAGATCTATGCTGCTATAGCTGCTTCTTTGGGTAAAAAATAAAAATAATAATAATCTGGTTTTGTTGCTTTATACTACAAATACACTGCTCAATACCCTGGAGACAAAAAAACAACCCAAAACTTTTTAGAACTCAACTTCAAACCTGCACAGAATGATTCCTTGTGAAAAAGAGCTACTAATGGCCACTATCAGGAGAACAAGTTGCTTGAGTTTGAAATAACTTTAAAATATTTTCTGATATCACCTGTATGAAGTATCCTTCGCCATTTCACTCTGCTGACTGCTGGTCAGTTTTTTCACAGTACTTAACTAAGGGTTATGAAAACATATAGGTGGTATTATTAAGAAAAAACAAGTTTATTTCAAATGTAGCAAGTATATACTATCAGAAAATAAACCAATAAGCTGAAGCTTGCAGCAGCAGAAGCTCTCCCCATTTTCTGTTTTTTAGTGGTTATATTTCCCAATGGTTTTATTCTGCTTACAGCAAGAATACCACAGACTTTTTTTTTTTTTTTTTTTTAACAGAGAAGGAACTACTAGAATGGGAGGAACACTGACTGCTAAAACTAATCTTACTAACCCTAAAAATAGTCTATGTCATTGCAATGCTGTAAATCTGTGATCTGTTACATACTTCCATAGACACCCTGGCATCCTGACCTGGCATCAGCCACTGCTTAAGCTGTACTGTTATTGATTCAAGCAGCAATTCCTGGAAGATTGCTCACATCAGACTCTCTCTGTGCATTGTAGTAAGGCTGCAGGGTTGCATGCCATTCTGGGATCAGCCTCTGCAAGCATCCATTGGAAAAATGGACCGGGAAGCTCAGAGCTGGCAAAATTTGAAGGGACTCCCCCTAAATCTTATGCCTGATTAATCCAACCAAAAAGGCACAAGTTAAACATTTGGTCTGCATCTTATTACCTGTTGGTTGAAAAGGTCTTCCTCTCCAAACTCTGCTTCATCCTCTTCCTCTTCGTTCTCTCGCATGACTACTGATTTAGTAACACTTCTCACTGCAACTTCCTACACAAAATGATAGATAAAGAGAGGGTCAGTAGTCTCTCTCATGTTTTTGCTATTCCATAAATATAATAGCCCTAATAAAATTTCGGAGGATTTAAAGCAACTTGCCCTAGATTTAATGTTAGCTATGCAAGCAAATACTGGTAATATCCTGCAAACCACAACAACATTCCTATGCTATCCACTGAAAGGCATGGTAATGTAATTTAGCTTGGGAATTTTCTTTCATTACCTAGGGATTTGAGAAGCAGCAGCCATGTTTCAGGTGGTCATTAGTCAATTTTATACAAGCTCATAGCAGACTCCGCTAGGAGCTGTCTGAGACATATCATGATGTGAGACACTAAAAATTTCTCAGTATGATTACACAGCATTGAGAATATTCATAATTTCTACTAAATATTCTATATTAATTGCATATATCAGTTATCAGGACTGTCTTCTAAATCAAGCACTAAAAAGAATTCTAAAACCCCAGGAAGCTTTCGGTATTACTAAATTATTTTTAACACTTCTTAGTAGCAAGAAATTCTTCTGTACACTTGCACCCTTGAAATCATAGGTGCAAACTTCTACCTGTGAAAGTGTCACCCTAAACATACACTTCTAAGCAGGGATTCTAAACGTAACCACAGTGGGAATGGACATGGATTTGAAATTCTTTCAGATTCAGTTTAACCACTTCTTTTTGAATACTAAGTCAGTTAGCCTTCTATTTGTACAAACGACTGTCCATCCTACTTTATCCTGTGCTGCTGGTCCAGCACAAAGTGCTGCCACAGAACTGCCAGCAAGAAAGACAGCATGGAACTGATACAACTGTGTTCTGTTTCACTTTTCTATTTCTATCAGATCACTGGGATAATGGCGCATTTATGAACAGCCAAAGTAGATCCTCCCGTGCAGGAGTCTTTGGCAGGGATGGTTTTAAGAAATTGGGTGTGGGCAGATGTAGGACAATTCAGAATACACAAGAACCTGCGCCAAATGAAAACTTCTGATATACTTCCAACACTGAAAGGACAGCGATCTTCCTACATTAATATTTATATTGCACCCCAGAATATTGTAGGTACTATGTAACATAACTTTGAATTGCCAGCAAAACTTAGATTCTCAAATTCCAAACAAGTTCTCTGTTAGCAGGGTGTTTTTCTAAAATAAGTTGAAAAAGTCTATGGATGTAACCAGGATGATGTCGCTGTTTTCCAAAATTTCCCCAAAATCTCAGAGTTCCATATAGATATTCAATTATTTTCAGTGTTATAAACAGTCTTATTTTAGAAGACAATAGGGGAGAACTTAAAATGAGGATTTTGTCATCGTCATGTCGTGTCTGCCCCTCCCTCCCCCTTCCCCCCACCTCTTAAAGAGTCTGGGAGATAACCCAGCCCACAGCTTTTTTTCTACAGACACAGCCTACCTCTCCTTCAGAGTTTACGAGGTATGTGCGAATATTTCCACCAGTGCCCCAGCTGGCTTGATTCTTCCACACGAGTACAGAAGGGGGGCTATGAGATACACCTGCATCTGCACCCCAAATCTAGTGAGAAAGACATTCTGTAATTAGCTATTCGTACACATTTTATTTTTAAATATACCGAATCCCCTAATTCTCCTTGTTTTCTCTACATACCACTTTTGTTTCTGAATTCCAATGGCAGTTTTACCCTTTTACCTACACCATTACTTGTAATACGATATTATTCTCAGTCTACCACAAAAAGTAACACTAGCCATAAAAAAAAAAGAGAGAAAAAAATTGTACTTAATATTCCAGTCATCAATGCTTTTCCAAATACACAAATGTCTCCTACCACTGTCTCAACAACGATCCTGTATGGAGCCAATACATAAAACGGAGCCTGTAGTGTATGAATTTGATCTTTTATATATATATATGAGCAATTGATACTTAAGTGTAAATAGCTGGAACTGATTAAAAGAAAGCCATTTTTTTATTCTGAAAGAACATCTGTTGCAGACTTAAAATAAACCACAAAATTATTGAAAAGCAGCTGTTCTACTGCAGTCAAGGCTAAGAACATCTAGTCTTAAACTTAACTAAGTCTACTAGACTGAGTGAATGCTCCAAAACATTCCTATTTCATTAAAAGGTTGAGCAGGATTAGCGTTCCAAACCTGGGCAAAGGTGTTTGAAAATAAACAGCCCTTGACCTGGCCCCTCCCCCCCCAAATACCCTTTTCTTCAACTTTCTCTGTGCCTGAAATGGTCTTAATTACTGAAGTGCTAATATAGAAATTCATTTTCTTATCTGCATTTTTATAACTGAAATCCTGCTCCTCTAAAGTGAGATCTGTGAAATCAAGTTATATACCAGATCAGACTGTACCAAACATCAGATTTACAACTGCCACAAAAATCAACAGAAGAGTATGTTATTGACATACTGCAAGTATAACTTACTGTTACAGTCTGCCCAGCTCTGAGGACATACTTAGGAGTAAATTTGTAAGCAATTTCTTCTCCATCTCCAATCTGCCTTTTCAGTCTCCAGTTACCCAAAGACTGATCCTAATGAAGAGAGTCATAAGGTTATTTAGGGTGAGCAAAACAGAGCAAACAGGCATCAGAGCTTTCTCTAGGTCTTTTTGTTATTAAAATAATGTGAATATTATTTATTTATTATTTATTCATTTACATGGTTCTTAGATATCTGCATTCTAACTTGAAAGTATTTTTTTATACCCATTAACAGTCTGAAGTGTAAATCCCGCAAGGTCGTTCAGCAAAATTTAAAAAAATACACATTTCACACAAAGAAGTTCTGCTAGAGCCATCCAGGCTATTTACATGAGCAAGGTACCAGTACACATGTTCAGACATTTGGGACACAAACTATGTTCTCTTCCTGCAACAAACATTACACTCATGCTAGCACACTGTAACATTCAACTTTCAAATGCTCCTGTTTATTACTGCAGGATGCTGCCCCTGCTCTTCAAGTGACTCCACCTGCTTGTGCTACGAAAGGATGTGGAGCATTTCACTTTAGCTCCTCCTCCTTGCTTTCTGCGAATTCTTCCGACACTCACCTTCTCAGAGTTATTCTTAAGTTGAACGTATTTGCCCTCCAGGTCTATCTCTTCTATGCTGATACTTCCCGTCGCTGAAGCTTGCTGGGACATTTGGAAGCTACTGCTACTACTGCTGCCACTAATACTTCCAGTGCCAATTCCGCTTGTTCCGCTGCCTGAAAACTCCTCTGCTTCAAGACGTTTTCTCTTGCCTCGGGAAGAGCGAACAAGTGAAGTACTGCTACTGCTGCTGCTGGAGGTAGCCCGAGAGACTGTAACACGGGAGGAGGGACTTGGAGAGAGCTTCAACCTTAACACAACAAAGCAAGCATTTTAATTAACTCATCCAGGGAACTACACAAAAAGCAGTAATGCTACAACATACTCCATAACCAGAACTGTAATACGACTCAAGGCTGAAAGCAGCCTCACTGTGTGTGTCAGGAAGACTACTTAAGAGAAGGAGGGGGATGGTGGTGGTGTGTGCTATTCATCCCTGAGAAATTTTCTGGTAGTAAGATTGTGTGACATGGAAAGCATCACTAGTGAGAGCAACACAGATCACTTAACCCCCCCCTCCAGTATATCTACTGCTAAACACACTATTTTTGGGCCACATCATTTAAAAAAAGGAAAACACAGAAGTATAAGCACTTAAATAAAAAGGACATGAATGTCAAGCACAGAATTATATTTTCCACTGTACTCTGAGACTACTATAAAACCCAAAATAAAATAAAAAGCGTTCAGATGAGAACACTTGCAAGTGTTCCATGCAACACATTGTACTGTGAAGCCAATATGACTTCAGTGAAACAAAATCTGGGCATTACTGCTGAAATGGTGAAAATAAGCATCAGAAACACCTCCTAGTCCGAAGAAAAGAATGCGGAATCTATACGTACCTTTCCTCTTCTCCTTCCAGGAGTTTTCGGTAAGCACTGATCTCCATGTCCAGTGCTAATTTAACATCAAGCAGTTCCTGGTACTCTGTAAGCTGCTGCTGCATCTGGTCCCTCATTTCTGTCATTTCCCTCTCCTTTGCATCTAGCATCTTCCTAAACTTTTCCCGCTCACCAGCCATCATTTCCTCCAATTCACGAATGCGATCTTCTGCAGCACTAGCCTAGATAGACAACACAATGGAAAACTCAGTTGGCGTCTATGTGGGTACAGTAAAAAAAAAAAAATTAAAAATTCATCTCCCTCCCAAAGGAGCATATCAAGCTTTCTCTCTGTAAAATTCATAAAATATGAAGGAACAGAACTGTTAATATATACAAACAATACAGTGCTCTGTATCAGAGATGAAAGCAAATTTAGTCCCTTTACCTGTTTCTGAAGGCCAGAAAGCTGGTAGCTGAGAGTTTCTATTCTCATGCGAGCCTCCTTCAACTCCTCTCGAGCTGCACCAGCAGCTTTGTCATTTTGGTCAGAGGACAGTTTGGCATTCTCCAGCTGGAAGGCAAGTTTTATACAAGTCACTTGCATTGAGTTAGATAGCCTGCAAATATCCTTTCTGTAAAAATTGGAAGCTATTTAATCTTAAATAATTTTAAATGGAAATCTGGTAAAATTACGGCAAGAACTGTGTAACGTTAAGGAAATGCCCTAAGGACCAGAAAAACTTATTTCAATCTATTCCCATAGGATTTGCTTATGCTGTTAAAAAAAAAAGTCTATTAGCCCTTCCATTATACAAGCAGCCTTATAGTTTCCAAAAGCTGAGGTTCATGTGATCACACGACCTGTGCGTTTGTTTTAAGAACAATCACACTGGCTCAGAGCAAAGGCTACCTTGTTCACTGCCTGGTTCCCTGGATGCCCAGGGACTAGGCTCAATAAAATATTCCATAGGAATTACATCTCAGCTGGCCATTTGCAACTCGGGGACTTCCTAAGCCAGAGACAGTATTTTTATGCTACTATCTCATGGATTTTTCAGGCAGGAATTTGTCTCTGCTTTTTGAATTTATGGGGCAAAGAGTTTAGCTATGTATTAATGAAGAACAACCTCCTTTTGTTTCTTTCGAATCTGCCACTGGACATTCACTGTTCCTACTTCTATTGAAAAATAATAATCAATCACTCCTCATTCACCTTCTCCATGGTATTTATCCTTTTACAGACATCCATTTTATCTTTCCCTTTCTCAATTCATCTCTTTTCCCAGGTGAAATTTTATTTTAACTTCCCTCATGCAGGACTTGTTTCATATTCTTAATTGTCTTTGTTAGTATTCTCAGTATTACTCTGTACTACCTTTTCAAGCTGGACTAAAACTACCCACAGCACTTCAGATGACATCCTGCCCCAGAGGTAAAACAATGCTTTTGGTTTTATTCTCTTTCTCTAATAGTTGCCAACATTCAATTTGTTTTCAGTGTTTGTTAATTTCACCTAAGAAACAAGCCTCATTTCTCCTGGCTAATTTTAACCAAAGCTGACAGAGCAACAACTGAGCTCAAAGCTCATGATAAGTTTCATCAAAGTAGATAACTAGAAGAAGCATCCTTTTCATGCCTTGCAGCTGGAGTTCAACAATTCTGCTACACACCATGGAAACCACCCAGGAACTAAACAACCCCAATTCTAAGAACAGTTACAGGCAGAACATGTTCTTCAGCCACGCAACAGAAAGCTTTATAAAATTCAATTTTCATTAGCTCTGCTGTTCACAGGTTTCTGAGGAAGGAAGAAAACACACATAGAGCCTTCTTTAGACCAAGGGTTTTGAAGGAACTTCAAGTCCAATATACATGACTTCTTGTAAAGTTTAAAATTAAAAATTAATTGAATGCTGACAACCATTCACATCCTTACAGTCATGCTGGCATAGTGCAAAATCCTCAGATTTAGAATTTCTATTGCTTATTATCAAAGGTCATGGTCAGGCAAGACGTAAGCTTTTACCCAAGACCCTCTCATCCTGGAGAAGCTCAGTAGCTAAACTTAACAACCTGCTTTGACATCATATTCTTTAACATCTCAAGCTCTGAGCAGGGACACATCTTTATCCAGAAATCCACAGAATGAAGCTCACAGCTAAGCTTGTTTTTCCCTTGTGTGGTGGTACAATCCCGCCGCCCTGCCTTAGGCCTCCCAATACTTGGTCTCAATTTCTTCCCCACCCGGGCTACATGATAATACAATTACAATGACGAGACGTAATGGTCTACCGTGAAAGAAAAAGTGTGGAGAGCAACGGACTAGAACACTATGGCAACCCCTTAGTATAATCTGGTTCCCATAGCTCCTACCGTTTGAAGGTGGGGAGTAATGGAATAGAATACTATGGCAACCCCCTAATGTGCATGGTTCCTATGGTTCCTACCGTTTGAAGATAACTACAATAACGAATCACTTCTGTCACCATATGGATTGTGGCTGCAGAGAGGGGGGTACCAGGACCACAAGTCATAGCAGGTCCTGGGCTTGCATAACGATGGAAAGTACCAAACTACTCCATTGTCTGAGCTGGGCTGGAGTGGAAAAGTACCTGACGGAAGTCAATTATCTCCGATCCTGTAACTAGCAATTCTAGTAAAGACCCTTTGAGCTCTTCTGAATCACAGCAGGCTGCAGCCAGTATCTCCCCTGAGTTGGGACGTTGCTCAGGCAAAAACCTCGAGGACTAGAAGGCCAGGGAGAGACAAGCCCCCTTGAGCCTCAATTACCGCCCATTGAGGAATGTCGATGTATTGTATTTAACTCAAGAAAAGAGAAATTTTAACTAAAAGCTAGCCTCTCTTTCATCCACCTCTCCACTTACATGTTTATGATAAATACACATTACCTTTATGGATGTGGATGTTCTTCCATTTGTACGTGCACACGTAGGAGTTACAAGGGGTACCCACCAGCTCGTTGAGAGTCATGCGATATTAAGAGATGTTTTATCTCAGCAGTTACAGACTGGCGTGTGTGTATGAGCACATTTATATGCTTTGCTTAGATGTATATGCATTGATTTGAGATCTGTGCTTTTGCCCATATGTGTATGTACTGATTTGGGATACTTTATAGTCAGTTAGTCTGAATTTCACCATCTTCAAATCTGTCAGTCACTGTTTAGTTACTTTGTTAAATCACTTTGTAAGCCTTTAAATCAGTTAATGATTAAGTGCTGCTAAAATTCAACCTCTTGATCCACCTAAAGTCACTAATAAATGTTGAATAGCTGCTAAATCATAACTGACTCAAATACTTCCATCTGCGACACCTTCACATTCCAACTTCGCCCATAACCGTCACCTTTTATGAGATGAAAAAGCAGCTTAAATTTGTTCATACCCCTGTTCAAATCTCATAACTTTTTCATTCTCAAGTCTGTACTTTGCAGACTTCTTTGTTTTCTTTTTCTTTAGTTTAACGAAGCATTTTCTGCCCTGGATCATCTTTGGACTGTGACAAGTCAATCCGAATATCTCATTGTATAAAAATACCGTATGTTCCTAACTTCTATGAATAATGCCAAGACTGCTAACCATACTTGATTTTGGTTTTCAGTATCTCTTATCTATATTGTTGCTGCTGTAAGAAATAGTTAAGTATTTGTAGAGCAATGTTTCTCAGGCTGTAAATCATCAAACCAAAGAATTCAAAGGGAGTCTTGGTGAAGGGTGGGGGAGAAAAATGTTAGCAGCACCATAATTTCTCCACCACAAATGAATTAGAAGTGGCTGTAATTATTGGCAAGTATTTTCAATAACCAGAAATCTGGCAGCTGCCTAATTCCTTCACGTAGGGCAACAAATACATATATAAAACACACCAACAAAAACAACACCAAAAAAACCAAACCCCACAAAAACCCCAAACCCACAACAAACCTGTAACCTGCAATTGTACCAACAACAAAGCTGCTACTCCTCCCATGTTCCCAGTGCTGGATGAACTGGACTTTGCTAACTCTGGATTTGCAGAGGTGCGACAGATACACTTGACTCCTAGTCTTAGTTTGGTTCAGGCTGACTAAGGAAAACTGGCCTCACATCTTTGGGGTGAACTTGCAAGCTGGAAAGCTCCTGGGTCTCTTACAAGGGAGTGAAGGTGTCTTGAAAAATATTCAAAAGGTGGCTCTGAAACCCAAAAGTGCAAGATAACCAAAGCAAAGAACAAGATACCAGAGCTAAACCAAAGACATCTATCTTTTCTATACTATTGACTGACAGCCAACTACTTCACCCTATCAATATTACCATCAAGATAAGCCCAATCTGAGCTCTCCCTGAACGGCAGCTGGGCTGCACACCAAGTGACTCTCCCCTTGAGCAGGAACAACTCTCAAGGTTAGAGATTCCTTAGCTGAGACTAAGAGATCCTTCCTTAGCCAAGGCAGAGAGATCCCTTACCTGTGACAGATCCTCGGTAAGTGACTAACATGCTGAGTTAATAGTTAATACTATTACTAATCCATGTAGCTACTCCATGTTATTATAAACGTTGCATGGATAATTCCATTAGACATAAACCATTGACCAAGTCTGAGACTAAAACTGGGCCCAGCTGCACCTAGGTTCCAAAAGGAGTTTATGAAGCAAAGGGGTCCACTCTGAACCTCATGACTCAACAGGAGGGTTCTCCTTACTCTTTGCATCTCTGGTCTATGTGTGAATCATTCTAACTCAATTTTCCTTTGTATGTTCCTTCCATGCAGTAATATAAGGTGAACCTTGCCAAACTTATTGAACCTTGTCAAACCACTGCTAAACTTTCTTAAATTCCATCAAACTTATTGAACTCTGTCAAATTCTTATTTTACCTCAATAAAACATATTGCTGCTTCTCTCCTTTGAGTGAGGTGCATTCTACTCATCCACAACAAGAAGCAGATAAACCAAAAGAGTGCAAATATTTAAGAAGTTTAAGAAGCATTCTTCTGGATTAAATTACTCCTATATTCATATTTCCCCTCCACTCTGCTCCGGTGAGATCCCACCTGGAGTACTGCGTCCAGCTCTGTAGCACCCAATGTCAGAAGGACATGGACCTGTTGGAGTGGCTCCACAGGGGGACCACAAAAATGATCCAAGGGCTGGAGCCCCTCTGCTGTGAGGACAGGCTGAGAGAGTTGGGGTTGTTCAGCCCAGAGAAGAGAAGGCTCTGGGAGACCTTATTGCAGCCTTCCAGTACTTAAAGAGGGCTTAGTCCAGCAGAGGGTTACAGAGATGATCAAGGGAACCTCCCTTATGAGAAAAGGCTGAGAGACCTGTGTCTGTTTAGCCTGGAGAAGAGAAGACTGAGAGGGGATCTATCTATGCTTGTAAATATCTAAAGGATGGGTGTCAAAAGGATGGGGCCAGACTCTTTTCAGTGGTGCCTGGCAATGGGACAAGGGGCAACAGGCACAAGCTGGCACACAGGAAATTCCATCTGAACATGAGGAAAAAATTATTTACTTTGAGGGTGACAGAGCGCTGGAACAAGCTGCCCAGAGACATTGTGGAGTCTCCTTCTGTGGAGATATTCAAAACCCGCCTGGACACATTCCCGTCCAACCTGCTCTATGTGAACCTGCCTTGGCAGAGCAGTTGGACTAGATGATCTCCAAAGGTCCAACCCCTACCATTCTGTGATTTGCGATGACAAGATAGATAAGGATGGACTTTTTAGCAGAGCCTGTTGCAACAGGCCAAGAGTTAATGGCTTCAAACTAAAAGAGGGTAGATTCAGACAAGATACAGGGAAGAATTTTTTTTATTTTTTTTTTTTTTAATTTTGATGGTGGTGAAACAATGGCCCAGGTTGCCCAGACAGGTGGTAGAGATGCCCCAGTCCCCGGAAACATTCCATGCCAGGTTTGACAGAGCTTTGAGCAACCTGATCTAGTTGAAGATGTCCCTTCTCATGGCAGGGGCATTGGACTAGATGGCCTTTAACGGTCACTTCCAATCCCAAACCATTCTATGATTTATAGACCATGGTTTTCATCACCAAAGCTGGTCAAAAAAGGTCCAATACCTTGCCTGAAGTTTCCCTGCCACCAATGAAACCACAACTGCATCTAGTAATTTTCCAATCCAGAACTAGCTTAGACCACTGAAATGCGATAAGGTTTACACACATTTAAAAAAGTATTTGGGCTAGTAAGAACATTGCAAAGGCCACAGTAAGAGTAAAGTGATAATGCAGCCTTAGATACGGAGCACCTCTCAGTATGTCCATTAGTCTGCAAGCTCACTGCATCCTGGCAAAAGCCCATACTGAAACGCAGCCATTCCCCAATCTCTCCAACGCATCCCTCCAGCTTCTCTGAGCCAACACATTGCACCTATTGCAAGTCTCTCCACCACCTCCATTTTGGAGGAAGAACTGGATCTACTGACATCAAGGAAAAAAACCCTCACAGCAGAAGACATTGTTTCATCAGCTATTGTGTGACAGCTGCTATTCCCACTATGTCCTCTGCTGTGACCAACAGTTCCATGTGTTTTCTTTAAAATTGGGCTTTGCTGGCTAAAGCTATTCCGAGCTATTACCTCTGGCTATAACCTCCCTGGAAATGCACCTGCGCACAGCGCCAGAGGAGGTGTCTGAACACTGGAACAAAGCTTCTTCATATTGTAACTACTTGTCTCCTTAAAGACAGTAGGGCTGATGGAAACAGTCTTATCTCACCACCTGGACTTCCTGTCAGACAGTGCTGTGGGCAGCAGTAGTTACCTTAGCCTGATAGGTCTGCTCAAGCTCCATTTTGTACAGTTTGACTTGTTCATCATGTTGATTTCGCAGATCCTCCAGGGCCTGAGTCATTTTGGATTCATACTCCTGTTGGCGACTAGTGTCCACCTCGACCAAACGATGTTCATGTCGTTTTCTTGTTTCCCTAATTTCCTACACACACAAAAAGAAATGGGGACAAATTCCCACATTAGTACAAGCAACTACATTCAGACAATTAACTAATTCAGTGCTAATTATTCAGTATATAGGAGCTACATTACTGAAGGCATTTAGGCCCAAGAATTACTGCATGTACTAACAGATGCAGGTTACTGTTCTCATTTAGTAGGATACAATTCTTAACAGTGATTCGACTTAAACTGTATATAGTTATTTGTAAACCTGTTTTTAAGTAAGGAGCTGTTTTAGGTTACAAAAGTCAAAATGGGGAGGGGGGAACCATAAATTTTTACACAGCAGAGAGATTCCATGTGCTGCACAAGTCCCTTCCTTCTCAATATACATCCCTACATTACAATAGCAATCTACAAAGTCAAATAAAAACAAACACCTTTTGTGACCATTAGATATATTGAAAAAGTAATCACTATAAAGAAAGACTGCATCTTCAAATTTCACATTTAAGTACATGCAGATCTTCTCTTTTTCTGTATACTGTATGACCCCTACTCATTAGATTTTGATTACGTTAGTAATAAAGCAGCAACCCAAGCAATCCTGAAAACATAGGGTTTTTTTCTGGTCAGAGTTTGTACTAAGAAATTTCTGGGTTTAGAGAAGTATGAATGCTCTGTGCCTAGAACACCAGTCCCAAACTAGTAAGGCAAGACTTACTCATGCTGTTACTCATGCCGAGACCTGGCCAGGCCTGAATGTATGGTATCAGAAAGAAACAATTTCTCCCTTCAGGGCAGGACAAACAGGGGAGCGGTACTGAGTGCTGGGAGGATGCCTGAAGGTAGCAGTAGGGCCAAGAGGAGCAATACCAGGCAAATGAAGCAAGGCTCACTTTGCATGCCTAAACTGGAGTCATAGCAGGGTAACACAAATTCAGCACGACTTTACACGTTGTTTTGCAGAAATGCTCTACATCTAAAAATAGACTCTTAGAAACACACCCTTCTACTCACAGCAATGTGCCCTGATGTGATCTGGAAGATGCTTTCCCTTCTGCAGTGAATTTTTATGCCAAGAAAACTAGCAAGCAACAGTCTCTCACTAACTGTAGGCAATGACCCCTTGGAGGGCACAAAAATATCGTGGGGGACTACACAGCATCAGGTGAAGGGCTGAGCTGATCTCACAGTTCAACACCACTAGAATAAGCAGACTTCACTTGCCACACTCCAATCATGACATTCTAACTCTAATAGAGCTTTGGACCCTTTACTGAACCAAATGCATTCACTAACCTAAAGCAAACCAATTCCGTTTTCTCTTTGTTGAGCTGGTCCATACAAAGATCAAAGAGCTCCAGGGACGGTTAAAGGAACACCACCACTTCAGTGTGGCAAGCTTTAAGATTAGTTTCTGCTGTCTCATTTAGCTTCACCTTTAGTCAGCAGTAACACAACTCTCCTCAGGAAGCACAGTTACTTTAAGACCCTACAACCAAGGAAGGGTCTGTTATTGCAGTCGCATACAGCAATCCAACTACTCCAGGGCATGGATGTGAGACAATTGTCAGTACAACTCAGGGACGTCTACCTGCTTGGTTGGCTTCTTTGCCCTGCTCCAGCCCATGTCCATAGCCACACAGACCTGCCCCATCCCTTAATCCAGTCTGGGCACTCATTTCATTCCATGGTAAGACATAACTCAGCCACTAAGCTCACAAGAATTAAACTCAGCCAAACCCCCCCAAGTATTTTACTAATTCATCGGGCTGAAATGGTTTGGTGTATGGTGAGCCAAACATCACAACTAGCATAGGTGAGATGAAGGGCAGAAGCATGTGGCAATTGCTCAGCAGCCACTAATTGAACGCAGTTGCAGAAAAACCAAAAGGTCAGAGCTGGTTTTCACAAGATGGAATAAACTGACATAACACTTTTTATCTGGTACAGACAGAAGGTCGTGCTTCCCTTTCCCAACACCCACCTGTGCGTTCCCACTATTTACTTTATAAAAACTCTGGTCCTCACTAGAACAACAATGAGCCAACTCAACTCACTAAACAGGCAGTAAACCACCCTTGCAAGAAGCAAGGTAATTGCATGCTGTTCTTGTCAATGAAAACAGGTTATAGTCAGGTCCACCAACCACCAAAGCTGGTGCAAGTAAGGAGCAGTGCCATGCAACCAGGTCCAGAGAGAGGGAACAAGACTTTGCCTTTCCCACAGCAGTCTGCTACTACATTAGCTCACCTGCCCATGGAACAATACCCTTGTCACTTGACTCTCATGCCAGCTCTGCCAGTGATTTACCACATAACTACTGCAAAACCATTAACTGTTTTATTACTCAACCCATTTATAGCAAGGATAATACCGATTCTCCCTACCTGGGCTAGTTAGTAATTGCTTATAGTCAGTTTCAATAAAAGCTACATAAACTTCAGACTATGATGAGATTGCTAGATTGATAATACCTCCTCAAACACATTCTTCCTGAAATCCAGGTCCTCTTGCAAGCTCTGGCACCGATTCTCCAGATCCACACGCATGAGTGTCTCCTTCTCCAACTGCTTCTTAGCCACAGCGTGACTATCTTCAGCCTAGTAAAGAATTTTAAAGATAAAGATGTAATTTTGTCTGGATCCCTATTTCCCACCCATAATCCATTTATGTTCTTCATTTGACATCTTTGGACCAGTTATTCACAACCACAAATCTAATGTCAAGCCACTGATTTTCCAAAAAATAAAACAAACCCAAACCAAAAACCCTCAAAAAAACCCAGTGTGCGTGTGAATATTTAAAATAAGTTTTCATGGTTTTATACCAGTTATCCAAAATACAGGATTATTTCAATACAGTATGATAATTGAGCTGAGGATTATTAATTCCTCAAGCACAATATGTTGCACATTCTTCTTGCCAACGTAGTCCCACTGGGTACTCCAATGTAAGTTTAAAATTATGCAGCACCTTACAAAGGATAACATTTAGTAACCTGGTATCTCACGAATATGGAAACACCAGAAACTGGGGCCAGTTCTCCTTAATATTTTTATCAATGGTCTGGATGAGGGGATCAAATGCACCCTCAGTAAGTTCGCAGATCAATGGTCTGGATGAGGGGATCAAATGCACCCTCAGTAAGTTCGCAGATGACACTAAGTTAGGTGGGCGTGTTGATCTGCTTGAGGGTAGGATGGCTCTGCAGAGGGATCTGGACAGGCTGGATCGAAGGGCTGAGGCCAATGGTATAAGGTTCAACAAGGCCAAGTGCCAGGTCCTGGACTTGGGTCACAACCACTCCATGCAGCGCTACAGGATTGGGGTGGAGTGCCTCAAAAGCTGCCTGGCAGAAAAGGGCCTGGGGGTGTTGGTGGACAGCCAGCTGGATATGAGCCAGCAGTGGGCCCAGGTGGCCAAGAAGGCCAACAGCATCCTGGACTGTATCAGGAATAATGTGGTGAGCAGGACTAGGGAAGTGATCATCCCCCTGTACTCAGCACTGGTGAGGCCCCACTGCGAGTGCTATGTTCAGTTTTCGGCCCCTCACAACAAGAAGGACATTGAGGTGCTGGAGTGTGTCCAGAGAAGGGCTACAAAGCTGGTGAGGGGTCTGGAGGACAAGCCTTAAGAGGAACGACTGACTGAGGGAACTGGGGTTGTTTAGCCTGGAGAAGAGAAGGCTGAAGGGAGACCTTATCACCCTCTACAACTACCTGAAAGGAGGTTGTAGAGAGGTGGGGGCTGACCTCTTCTCCCTGGTGACAAGTGATAGGACGAGAGGAAATGGATTCAAGTTTTGTCAGGGGAGGTTTAGATTAGATGTTAGGAAACATTTTTTTCACTGAAAGGGTTATTAAACATTGGAATAGGCTGCCCAGGGAGGTGGTGGATTCACCATCCCTGGAGGTGTTTAAAACAAGGGTAGATATGGTACTTACAGACATAGTTTAAAGGTAGTTTTGTCAGGGTAGGTTGATGGTTGGACTTGATGACCTTAAAGGTCCCTTCCCACCTTAGCAATTCTATGATTCTATGAAAAGCTTTCTTGACTAGCAAAATTTCTAAAACACCATGTTGCTTTGGTTTCTTACAATTCAGTTTTATATCCAAGAGGGGCAGGCAAGGGTTCAGCGGTAAGCAAACTGGATCAATGATGTTGAGACTATAAACTAGCCACAAAGAAAAATAATGATTTTTACAACACACAGCCTCTCCTGTGCTACGGCAAGGAACCATTTGCTGACATACCTTAGCAAGTTGGGCACGCAAATCTGCCACCTCCGCTTCCAGACTGCGTTTTTCATTCAGGACAGTATTGAGTTCTGCTTCACTTCTATGGAACAGCACTTCAAGATCCTTAATGCGACCCTGAGCCACAGACAAATCTGCATCTTTCTTCTTGTAGCTGAAAAAAAAAAAAAAGTAGTTATATTTATACGTGGGTGCACACACATCTTGAGCATGTCTTGATTACAACTACAGATATTTTGTTATTATACACATTTTATTAGGATTAGCGTACCACTAGATGGCTCCCAGAGTAACCTGCAAATGCATCTAATAGAAGTAATCATAAATGCCTCTTAAAACTTGCAGCTTGCACCAATGTGCTGTAAATGCATTGCCTGATGAAGGAAAACATGTCATAGACAAGGGAAAAACAAGAAGGCAACTCAGCTAAAAGATGACAATAAAGCTGCTCTACACACAAGTTGTAAAGAGTATTTTTTCATCTCACTGCTGCACAGCACATTTAATTGCTGACATCTATCACTTTGGACTACAGCCCCTGAGAAGCAGAGCGCACGCATCTCCCAAAGAGGCCCATGCGCATCCCCAGTGGTTTGTAATTGATGTGACAAAGCCCATTCCCCAGGATGTATTCCCACACAAAGCAGTAGAGTAGTAATCCACCATGGAAACGTGATCACCTTTCAGGAATAAACCAGTATTTCTTCAGCAGTATTCATTATGAGCAAAGCAACCCTGGTCACTTTAAATATGACTACTCAAGCTGTTATATCCAACTTGCAGAAATCATCCAGGTCATTTTCCTCCTGCCCACCAAGTATTTGTCTACCTTTTCCTCTAACAAACTGACTTTCTGCAGCTTCTCTAGGTGTGTGTTGTCATGTTATTAAAAAACTGTTTTGTTACATGAAGTAATCCTTCCTTGCTGCAGTTTAAGCTTCCTATTCTAGAGCTTTGAAAAGTTCTGTATTTGGTCTGCAACTCCAAACATGAGAAAAAACATTATGTTCACAAAGGGAAAAAAAGCTGAAAACCACTGCTCTAGATTATACAAAACTTGCTCGCCAGCCCAAACCCTCAGTCTTGGTTCCCAAACTTCTGATCACTTGTACTATCCTCTTAAATTTTTACTTTGCCTATTACCCTAACAAAATGTGATGCCCAGAATTACTTTTTAAAAAAATCCTGCTTTATGGGGTACTGGTGTGTCCTACAGACAGTATCTCTTTATATGCTTCAGCACGATGTGCATCTTTTCCTAACAATAGATTAAATAGACTTATTTTTGTGATACACTTTAGCTATGAAGCTCATGTGTCTTCTCTGCATTCCTTGGTGTAGATCTCAATTTGTTTTCATTCAACTGTAACCAATTTTTCTTAATCATTGGTACAATCTGTCACTGTGAATCCTGTTTGCTCAAGGGAAATCTTTCAGTGACCAAGAGGAATAGCAGGCAGAGGAAGCCGCAGCAAGATAGTCACACAACTCAAGAGTTGGGAGCTTGCAGCTCAAGCAGGAAGACTGCTAAAAGGAGCAGACGGATGAGGCCTACATATGTCTACCTCCAGGCTTTGCTTGACCTGGGGACCTGTGACATTGGTAAAGATATGAATAGACACTTCAAGAACATCAGGACAGGAGACTTGCCTTTACCAGGTCAAAGTTATCTCTGCTATGACTGAACGCACTCTGACCACTACGCCAGGTCTCATTCAGCAGTCTTGTGGGAGGGTGCTGTTAAACCAAAGCAAAAATACTGTGCATGTCACTAGTAAATTAAATGTTCCCATCTATGCCTCCTCCTCTCATCCCCCCCCTCAAGCCATCAAAAGTTTCATCAAGCAGCAAAAGATGCACACAAAAGCACATATTACATGTTACAGATCATATAGGAAAGAACCATACCTGCTTCAGAATAGTATCAGAATGTCCATTTTTACAACAATATTTTAATCCTAGATTTAAAAATACGTTCCTACTCCTGATACAAACATCTTTAAACTAAAAAGTTAAGCTGTCATAGAAACAGTGTTGTAACATCCGAAAGATATTTCACTTTTTATAAAGTGAAACTATCCAACTGCTTATGAACCTAGTTAGGAACTTGGCTCAATAGAAAAAATTCTAAATTCATGAGCCGTGTTCAAGGTACAGGTATGTGTTATACATGTTCTAAAATACACAGAATCACAGAACAGTTTAGGTTGGAAGGGACCTTAAAGCTTATCCAGTCCCACCCACCCTGCCCTGGGCAGGGACACCTTCCACCAGCCCAGGTTACTCCAAGCCCCGTCCAACCTGGCCTTGAACACCTCCAGGGATGGGGCAGCCACAGCTTCTCTGGGCAACCTGGGTGAGGGGCTCACCACCCTCACAGTTAAGAATTTCTTCCTCATATCTCATCTAAATCTCCCCTCTTCCAGTTTAAAACTGTTACCCCTCATCCTATCACTACATGCCCTTGTAAAAAGGCCCTCTCCAGCTTTCCTGTAGGCCCCCTTCAGATACTAGAAGGGGCTCTCAAGGTCTCCCCAGAGCCTTCTCTTCTCTGGGCTGAACACGCCCAACTCTCTCAGCCTCTCCTCCCAGCAGAGGGGCTCCAGCCCTCGCAGCATCTCCAGGGCCTCCTCTGGTCCTGCTCCAACAGCTCCGTGTCCTTCTGCTGTTGGGACCTCCAGAGCTGGAGGCAGACCTGCAGGGGGCTCTCCCCAGAGCGGAGAAGAATCCCCTCCCTCACCCTGCTGGGGATGCAGCCCAGGATGCAATCAGCCATCTGGGCTGCCAGCGTATATTGCAGGCTTATATTCAGTTTTTCATCCACCAGTATCAAGTCCTCCTCAGGACTGCTCTCAATCCACTCATTGCCCAGCCTGTATCCATGTTGAGGACTGTCCCTACCCAGGCAGCACTGCCAGGTGCACTGGCATGTATAACAAAAAGGACCCATGGGAGGCTTATACCATAACTCAGGATAACTGACAATGTCCATAATGCAAGAGACATTGATGTTCAGGCAACTGAATCCCACTTGTAATGCAAGGAAATAATATATCCCATTATTCATTTGCAAACTGAATTGAGATGTGCATGGGTGCTAACATCTTAACCAACGCTCCTCACTGTCTTCTGCAGATCAATCCCTAATTTGGAGCCAAAACTAGCTTCACACTATGACAAAGCCCCCTGAAATTATAGTTGAAGTAGACTTGAAGGGGAAAAGGGATACTATCAGGCTTGCCTGTGACAAGCTGTGGGACAACACGCCAAAGTTACAGGGTGCCAGCAAGGGCTCTCAGCCTGTTGCTCTGAGACATGCTGGGTACACTGGAGCACACTGGAAGTCTTACAGAGATGAGCCAGGGACTCCTGAGGTAACAGGAGCCAACAGGGAAACACTGGTGAAATACCTCAAAGGAATTAAGAAGTGTTCCTTTAAGAACAGGACACAGTCGACAGCCCAGCTGAAGTGCCTCTACACCAATGCACGCAGCATGGGCAACAAACAGGAGGAGTTGGAAGCCACCATGCTGCCAGAAAGCTACGACCTGGTTGCCACTACTGAAACCTGCCGGGAGGAATCCCATGACTGGAGTGCGGCTATCAATGGCTACAGGCTGTTCACAAGGGACAGGGGAGGAAGGAGGGACGGAGGCCTCGCCCTCTTGATGGCCTCTTGCCATCAAGAACTGGGTAGTGTGTGAAGAGCTGCCTCTGAAGAATAGCCACGCACAGGGTGAAAGCCTATGAGTAAGAATTAGAGACTGAGGCAACAAAGGGAACCGTGTGGTTGGGGTCTACTACAGGCCGCCCAGCTTGTTGACAAACCCTCTTACTCCAGCTCCAGGAGGTATCGCACATGCAGGCTCTTGTCCTGCTGGGGGACTTCAACCACCCCAACATCTGCTGGAAAAGCCGCATGGTGAGCTGTAGGCAATCCAGGAGACTCCTGGAGCGCATCGAGGATAACTTCTTAAGCGAGGTAAGAGACAGCCCTGCGATATTGGACCTGTTGGTCACCAACACAAGTGAGCTGATTGGTGACATTAAGATTGGAGGCAGCCTGGGCTGCAATGATCATGCACTGGTGGAGTTTGTAGTCCTGAGAGATAAGGGTCAAGCAAAGACTAAAGTCAGGACCCTGAATTTTAGGAAAGCAAACTTCCAGCTCTTCAAGGAGTCAGTCAATAGGACCCCCCGGGAAACTGCCCTCAGGGACAACAGAGCACAACAGAGCTGGTAGATCTTTAAGGACACTTTCCATAGAGTGCAAGCTCTTGATCCCCAGGTGTAAGAAGTCAGGAAAGGAGGGCCAGAGACCAGCATGGCTGAGTCGAGACCTGCTGGTCAAACTAAAGGGCAAGAAGGAAACGCACAGGCAGTGGAAGCAGGGACAAGTATCCTGGGAAGAGTACAGGGACCTTGCCCAGTTGTGTAGGGATGGGGACAGGAAGGCCAAGGCGCAGCCGGAGCTGAACTTGGCAACGGACACTCAGAAAAATAAGAAGGGCTTCTTACAGGTATGTCAGCCAGAAAAGGAAGGTCAAAGAAAGCGTACCCTCCCCAATGAGCAAGACTGGCAAACTGATAACAGCGGATGAGGAGAAGGTGAGGGACTCAACTTTTTTGCCTCAGTCCTCACTGGCAGCCTCTCTCCCCACACCTGTCAAGTAGATGAACCGCAAGGCAGGGACTGGGGGAGCAAAGTTCCTCCCACTGTAAGAGAAGATCAGGTTCATGACCACCGGAGGAACCGGAACATATACAAGCCTATGGGATGAGATACATCCCAGAGTCCTGAGGGAATTGGCTGATGCAGTTGCCAAGTCACTCTCCATGATATCTGAAAAGTCACGGCAGTCAGGTGAAGATCCCAGTGACTGGAAAAGGGGAAATACTGCACCCGTTTTCAAAAAGGGTAGAAAGGAGGACCCTGGGAGCTACCGACTTCTCAGCCTCACCTCTGGGCCTGGGAAGATCATGGAACAGATCTTCCTAGAAGCAATGCTAAGGCACATGGAGGACAGGCAGGTCATTCGAGACAGCCAGCACGGCTTCACAAAGGCAAGTCCTGTCTGACCAACCTAGTGGCCTTCTATGATGGAGTGACTAGATCAGAGGACAAGGGAAGAGCTAGGCATGTCATCTATCTAGACTTCTGTAAGGCCTTTGACAAGGTCCCCCACAACATGCTTCTCTAAATTGGAGAGTTGAATTTGATGGGTGGACTGTTCAGTGGATGAGGAATTGGTTGGATGGTCGCATTCAGAGGGTAGTGGTCAATGGCTCAATGTCCAGACGGAGATCGGTGACAAGTGGTGTCCCTCAGGGGTCCGTACAGGGACTAGTACTGTTAAATATCTTCATTAATGACATAGACAGTAGAATCAAGTGCACCCTCCGCAAGTTGACACCAAGTTGACTCGTGAGACTGACATGCCTGAGGGATGGGATGCCATCTAGAGGAACCTGGAGAGGCTCGAGAAGTGGACCCATGTGAATCTCATGAGGTTCAACAAGGCCAAGTGCAGGGTACTGCACCTGGGTCAGGGCAACCCCTGGTATCAATACAGGCTGGGGGGATGACGGGAGAAGGACTTGGAGGTACTGCTGGACACAAGCCAGCAATGTGCGCTTAGAGCCCAGAAGGCTAACCATATCCTGGGCTGCATCAAAAGGAGCACAGCCAGCAGGTCAAGGGAGGGGATTCTCCACCTCTACTCTGGTAAGACCCTACCTGAATCCAGCTCTGGAGTCCTCAGTACAAGACATGGACATGTTGGAGCAGGTCCAGAGGAGGCCACAAAAGTGATCAGAGGGATGGAACACCTCTCCGATGAGGACAGGCTGAGAAAGCTGGAGTTGTTAAGCCTGCAGGTGAGAAGGCTCTGGGGAGACCTTATAGCAGCCTTCCAGTACTAAAAAGGCGCTTATAAGAAAGATGTGGACACACTTTTTAGCAGGGCCTGTTGCAAGAAATAATGGTTTTAAACTAAAAGAGGGAAGATTTAGACTAGATCTAACGAAGAAATTTTGTTACACTGAGGGTGGTAAAACACTGGCACAGGCTGCCCAGAGAGGTGCTAGATGCCCCATCGCTAGAAACAGTCAAGGTCAGGTTGGACAGGGCTCTGAGCAGCCTGATCCAGTGGAAGATGTCCCTGTCCATAACCTTTAAAGGTCCTTTCCAAACCAAACTATTCCACGATTCTGTGAACCAGCAGGGCACAGAAGCAAAGAAGGCTAAAGGCATCCTGGGCCACATTAACAGGAACATGGCTGTAGTGAATATAAAATTACACACTAACCTACTCTTCCACTATACGCAGTTCTCAAAGCACTGAAGCAAGCTTGGCCTGTGAGAAGCACCATCTGACTGTCAGTATGGGCAAGGAGGACTTCAGTCATGAGCTACGTGTCAAGTGTACACTGCAAACCAGGCAAACAGACTTCTAAAAGCCGCATTTGCAAAAATCACATTTAAAATCTGGCCACATCAGAAGCATAACTTTCCACATGACCCAAGCTAGGCACCCTGAGAACACTTCAAGTACATTACAAGCACGTCAAGGGACTGGAAGCAATCTGGTAGACGAAACTTTCAAGCCAGGGAAGAATTAAATTATACTCCTATGAACTGTAAGAACAGAGAGAAAAATAAGAAAACCAGGTATATTTTCTTCATATTTAGTCTGTCTCAGAAAACCAAAAAAGTGTTTGAAATTAGTCCAGCAGAATTAACCAGTCATTGAAGTGACTGGTGAGAGGCAACTCAATTGTCAAAACAAAGGGCAAGAGAGACAAGACCGAAGGGAAAACAGCTTCTCCACCACTTTAAATGTACAACATTCTACAACAAGGTATTTGTAAAATCTCCTAGCGCTATCAAAAGCCTAAAGAACCTGAATCAATTGGCACTGATTCTCATTAGATTCCAAATACAGATACTTCTGATAAGTATACCTTAATCAAAACATAAAAATAAGCATCTTGCAGAACAGGAGAGGGGAACCAAATTCCCAGTTACTGCTGCTGCTCTCTTCTGGAGCTTGCTTTAAAAGCCCAGCAAGCAGAGTATTTGCCATCACCAAGACAAGGGAGACAACCTTGATGGCCATGTAATGCCCACTGCCATGCAAAATACATTATCTGAAATAAATGCCAAGACTGCTGGCCTAAGGCTTTTAAGAGGGAAATCAGTCCCAACAGGAACATCACAGCAGAGCTGGGTGGTATTCATGTCACTTAACTTTAGGGGTTTACATCTGACCTGGTTACCATCAGGTCTTTTTATAGTTAACAAAGGCCTAGCTAACTGAGTCCATAAATTTTAGCGTACAGGTCATCTTACTACATGCAGGCACATCCTCTAGTATGAACTGTGCACCGAGTTCAATAGGCTTTACAGAGACTTACTCAAATGGAGATGCTTAGACTATAGCCATTTCATGTTTGGACAGCTATTTTAGGGGTAAAGTCCACAAAATATCTCCAATGGCTGACTTTAACAAGAAGACCCAGCACAGGAAGTGAAGATCCAGTGATATAGCAAAGTTTACAGAGAAAACAAGAAATACTTCATCATAAATTAACTAGCTAATCAGAAAAAACACAAGAGAGGGAAACACTTAATTCCTTTTATAACCACTTAGATGCAAATTAAGAGAGACAGGAGACTGACAGTAGGCCTGTACTAGCACTGCTAGATTAAAAGCAATTTTATGGCCAGCAACTTTCATATACAGGTGATGTACATACTGACATGCTCAGGAAAAATCTTTTACTCCCAAATCTTACCTACCAAAATAGGTATCAAAATTCAATCAGAAGCAAAAAAATAATTTTGCCACCATATATATTCATTTTAAAATGAAGTTTTAACTGCTAAACAGTATTTGATCACAAAACCTCCCTTGTGGGAATAGAAATAACGGATTACATTTGGCTTAAGTAGCCAGCTTATTAGGTCAATTCTCTTTCACGCAGACCGAACAGCAGTTTTTAAAAACGTAGTCGGTACAAGGTCTTTTTCGAGCACACTTACATTGTAACTTCATGTGTTTTCAGGCCAACACTGCTTCCATATTCCCAAAGTGCTCAGAGCCACCCTTTTCCTTCATTTCTGCCATCAGTCAATACAGTGAACCAGTCAATAAAACTGATAATGTTTAAAAATTAACCTTGAATTGTTCAAATCCCAGTATATTAATCTTACATCTACAAGTACATTTGTGTATATACTGGTCAGATTATCTGCTCTGACTAGCTGTGCCAACAAGCTGAGGAATTTCCTTCTGACAAGCCTGTATCTTACTGATCTGCAATGCTTCCAAAAGACACCCACTAAGGCATTTTAAGAAGCATCATTAGTATCATTCCCACTGCAAATATTGCCCATTCTAATTAAAAAAATAATATATATATCATGCAGGACTTTCCTTACCTTTTATTGAACTCCTCAAGTTCCGCTCTCAGTTTTCCTATTTCAATCTGTAATCTAGCCCTCTCTTTGGCAGTTTCATCCAGAACTCTTCGAGCATCAGCCAATTCAGACTCATAGAGACTCTTGATTCCACTCACCTAATGGGAAAAAAGTATTCAGATATGATAAAATCCCAAAGACTAACTATCAAAGAGTTGAAACACAGCACCAGGTTTCACATAGCTTTCTTTGAAAAAAGGGTGCATGATGATTTCTGTTGTTTAAGAACATTCTATATCAAACATTTTCAATTCATATGCACCTACAATTAGATGTGATCTAGTCCTAAAGACAAGATTAAATTTTTATTCCCAGTGGGACATAACAAAACATATTATGTTTGAAGTGTGCAAGTCTCCCAAAGAGATGAACTGAAGCAGATCAGTACAGCCTACAATCAGACCTTAAGTTGTTTGCCCTCATTTCCAACATTCTGCTATGGTAGATGTTTTTAAACAGTAATACCACTTTAAGATAAATGATGATAGACTTATTTTGTGGAATACAGGTCCGAGGCCCAATTTGACTCTGCTACTCTTGCACTATAAAGCTAAAAAAAATCTAAAACTAGATGAACTACAGAAACGTCAACTGTTAAGAGATGAGCTTCCACTCCTGTTCTCTACCTCAGAGGATAAGGATCTACAGACCTCTCCCTGTCCCAATTCAATATAGTACATAATCAGTCTGAATAGACTGCAGCAAGGCACCTCAAGGTCTTCCACACCTTTATTGTTTTTAGAATGCAAGATTATTTGAAAGGTATAACAGATAGCTAAAATGTCAAGACCATATAAGATTGCTGCAATTGCTTCTGTCAAAGGATACCAGAACAATTATTACCAATGTAAACCAGAAACAGAGCAATCAGGGAGTGAGAAGAGCCAAAAGCAGAACGTACAAACTTTAGGAAGAGAAATTTCATAACAACACACAAAATGTAGAAACAAGAAAGCAAACTGTGCTATTCCTAGGAGTGCCTATTTCAACATCAGAGTAGCACCAATGACAGACTCAACCATCTGGTCTTCAAAAAGACTGATTAAAAGCAGTCAGGATATAATTAAGTTCCTGATAGACTATAATCTCATAAATATTCTGAAATTAACTAAACTATGATAGTATGAGGGCTGAGAAGCCTTTAGTTTACAAGCATACTACATACCAGGAAGGACTTGGCTGTCTATCCATGCAAACTTAGTTCTTTTCTTTAAAGAGTTCTTTCAAGCTTTATTCAAGTTTCGGGGATTTGGTCATGTTTCATGCCCCCCATGTTCCCCCGCTCCCCAGCTGATGGCTTGTGCCATAGACAACCTCTGGTTAACATAACTCTGTATTATCAGTTACAAAATTTAGGAAGTTCTACAAAGAAGTGTACCATGACTGTGCTAAACTCTTTCATACAGCACACCACAACGCCAAAAGAAAAACAACAACTCGGAGATTTTAAGGCTGTAAAGCCTTTCATTATGGATGACCCTTGAGTGAAAATACACCATTTGCAAATTGCAATACAAAATACAATTGCCCAAAGGCCAAGCACTGGTTCTGCACCATCAGGTACTGCATCTACAACACTCCTTCCCTAATGCTGGCCTTTCTTTAGGCCATCTGCCCTTCAGCTTTTAAATCTCTGCCCTAGGACATCTACCAGGAACTTGGGGCTGTAAGGCTGTAGGTGCAGACAGACACACTAAATCACAGTGCAGGATACAAGGACAAATCCCTTCCCTGTACTCCCGGGCATAAACTGGAATTGCATGTCAAGGTACAATGGAAGACAGATTTTTTTTCCCCTAGGTCTGTCTGAATACCGTCACAAAAAGGTGTTGCTGGTGTGATACTTACCACAGGCAGTAAATAATTTATGCTTTTGAGGCATTACAGACAATTCAGAGCTTAACACCACCAAAACAACAATATTCTGAACAGAGAATAAACACTTAATGCAATTCTTGTGTAGAGAGAATATAGCTAGATGGAGATAAAAATTGCATTATGAAAGCCATTCAGAACCTGTTGGAAAAAAAGATAACCAGAGATGGTGCTTCTTAATTAGAAAGGACTGATTGAGCATAACTAGTTGTGGTAGCTTAGTACGTATTTTTCTCTTGCAGCATATTAACCTCTTCTCTGCTCTTATTCCAGCAAGAAACAAGAGAAGGAAACACAAGGGTCCAATTCACAGTCCAAAGCGTTAATCAAAAAGCCACTTGGACTAGAATTTTAAGCTAATGCACTGAGCAGACAGAAATAACTGAGACATAAGGACACACTGCAGCTTTCAGCACAGGGAGGCAGCAGACAACTGGGAGCAGTAACACCTTCAATCACTGGAAAAAAAAACAACAAACCAAACAAAAAAACAAACCTCGCCAGAACTCTAACAACAAGATAGAAAGAGAATATGAATTCATGATAACATTGATAGAAGTTTTAGATGATCAAACTGAACTGGAGGACAGCTCAAGATGGTCTTGCTAGATCATAAAAATAACATCTTGTTTATTTTCAGCACTGTTCAAGCAAAGAAGAGAATCAAACACAGCAGTAAGCTCAAAACAAAGGAAGTAATGCCAGCTCAGCTGAACTAGCCTGGTATTATGTAGTTGACAACACTTCTAGCCCAAGACGGTTATTCACTGAAAGGACCTGTCTACCCCAACGCTGAGAGAAACTCTGGAAAATATTTCTGTTCCCTGAAACTGTCACCCTTCAAACTCTGTTCTGGTGGAAGGAGCCTGCCTAACTTTGGGTGTTCTCTCTGAAAATCTCCAGAGAGGTACCACCACAAAAGTGCCTCTGTTTAGTGTATATCTATGATTTTGCTTTGTTTTGACTCTACAGACACTCTTCTGCCCACTCGCTTTTTAAATCACTTTCCATTTGATGCTTACTTTGGTCTCTAGTACAGTGACACTTCTAAAAAGGTGCTGTTAAACCAAAGCAGAACCTCCTAGAATAAGCCTCACATGCCCCTTCTGGATGGACAGGAGGAAAAAAAAAAAAAAAAAAACCCAAAAAAACCACAAGCCACTAGGAACAACAGCCTGTGACCACAGCAACAAGAGAAGGAAGTTGAATAAATGCATCTGGCAACTAAGAAGCCCATTTCTGGTTCTTTGTCTCATCACACTTCTGATCAGAGTGCCACCAGACAGCATCTATGTGTCCTTGAACACTGCCAAAGAATACTGGATGAAAGATATAATCTGTCTGACTTCCTCCATTTTTGTCATCTTCTATCAGTACAATCTATGAATTTGAATTCCTTCCTTCATTTGTTGTTTCTCATCATTTTGTCTCCCGCTTCCCACATTTGAGAAGGGTACAAACTCATCCTTGATGCCTATGCCAATCCTTCCAGTGTAAGCCAGTAAGAGCAGCAGCTGGTAGCAAATGCTGAAAGGAAAAAGTATAGAGAACGAGGCAAACATACAATGATTCTTCACTCACATGTACTCCCAGCTTCTAAAAATTTAAAAAAATTCTAAGCCAAAAATTGCTTCCAGGCACCAAAAACAAGTAGTCACCAAATACTGTTAATTTGTCTAATCCTTTAAATGTCTTTAGCTTTTGGCTTCTACAACATCAGAGCATCATACAAGCACAACGTGTGGATTAAGACCTACTGCTTGATAGTTTCATTTCATGCTTATAGTTTTTGTGTTGCGAGAAATGCTGAATATTTGCTTCCTATACAAATCTCTTTGCTTGGACTCATGACCCAGGTTTCTTTTCATGTCTTTTCCAGATTTGCTCCTGGTCAGAAGTTATTCTGCTGCTCTGCTCATCTTTGTCACCTTTTCCTTACACACTATTTCCAGACTCTAGATGTTTCAAAATAAGTTAAGAAAACTGCAAGCAGCATTCAGAATACAGAAACAACACTGATTTACACAGTGGTTATTCACCACTAGCTACAAAGGAAAACAGAGACATTAGACGAGATCAGAGGGGCAGAAAATGCAGCAATTCTAACCCAAGCTGTAATCCAGGAGGTGATACCTGAGCTATATTTTCATATGTTAGTAGTGAGGTGCTGTGGTGGGGCTAATCTAGAAAGCCACAAGAGAGAAAGCAACTCTTCATCACAATACAACATGGCAAGCTAAAAAATGAAAGTTGAAGAACAACTCATGAATGGTGTAGAAAGCAATTACTCCTCCTGTGCTCATGGAAAAGGCATAAAAGAGTCCATGGCCCCATGTCCATCAGTTTATGTAGAAGAACCACCTAACAAAAAAAAATGCAGTGAAAACAGACCTTTTGGTCTTGGGTGGGTTTTTTTTTGGTTGTTTGTTGGGTTTTTGTCTGTTGGGCTTTTTAACTTAAAGATTCCTCTACTGCAGATATAAGACTTCTGCACTTAAGCATCAGTTGAAGGTATCATAGAACAGATCAAAAAAACGAGAAAAAAAATGTTTAGAAAACATTAACGGCTTTCTAAGTCCCATTTTTTTAACTAAATCAATCAGTACGTTATTTAATCTCTCATTTAGAGTCCACTTTGTACTAGAGCATTAGAAGATGGTTCACGCCATACAAGTTTCTAAAATGGGAACTACCTATCACTAAACTTTGAAGTCCATGGCAGTACAGTAGACATTAACCTGAAGAGCAGGACTACAGGGCATACGAGTAAGAGTCATACTGAGGAAGAATGATTATGACTTGTGAAAAATAAAAGCTTCACAACCTACTGGACTTGCTCAGTCAAACAGGGAGCAGGTACTCACGACAGATCCAGTAAAAAAAACAAGAAGTAGTAGGTACATGTAGAAGCACAACAGAGTGGAGAAAACACAGTCACACAGTATGGCTTTTTTAAAAGGAAACACTGGACAAGGGAACAAGCACATGAACAAGGGTTTGAAAAGTCAACAGACATTGGGAAAGCAGAGACTAAGACAGTCTGCCTGGACTCCCAAAAGGCTTGAATAAGATCCCCCACCAAAGGCTCCTACAGAGGCCATGCACAGTCTAAGCAGGCACAGCGAAGAAAAACAGACAAGAAGAGACATCACCTTCCAGGAATTGAGATGAGGTTGATAGGCCTGTAGTTCCCTGGATCTTCATTCTTGCCCCTCCTGAAGACACTATCTTTCTTCCAGTCTTCAGGAATCTCTCCTTATCATCATGCTCTTTCAAAGATAATGGAGTGGCCTCGCAATGAGGTCAGCCAGTTCCCTCAGCACTCATGGGTGCAACCCATCAGGTCCCATGGACTTATGTCCAGCTTGTTTAGATGTTCCCTATCCTGATCCTCCTCTACCAAGAAGGAGTCTTCCTTGTGCCAGACTTTCCCTCTAGTCTCAGGGGCCTGGGATTCCTGAAGGCTAGTCTGACCACAAGAAGGCATTGAGCGCATCAGCCTTCCTTCCCTGTTCCGAGTTTAGTCAGGACCTCCTTGCTCATCTATACAGGTCTCCTGCCACCTTTGCTCCATTTCATGATTGTTAGGATGGATCACTCTTGAGCTTAGAGGTTACTCTTGAGAATATCAACCTAGCTTTCATGGACCTCTTTTCTCTCCAGGTCTGTAACCCACAGGATTCTTCCAAGCAGAGCCCTGAAGAGGCTAAAGTCTACTTTCCTGATATCCAGGGTTCTGGTCTTGCTTCTTGTTCTGCTCCATCCTCTAAAAATCCCAAACTCCACTGTCTCATGGTCACTGCCCTGACCTTAACATCCCCGACCAGTTCTTCCTGGTCCAGCAGAGCACAAAGACTAGGGCATGTGAGGCTTCTTCCAGTTGACTGCAGAAGCCTTTGTTTACCTATTCTCCTTGATCAGGTCAGTAATAGACACATACCACAATGTCACCCATCCTGGTCTGACCACTAATCCTGATCAACAAGCTCTCAGCTAGCTCATAAAATGTCCGTAGGCAAAGCTCCAGGCATTCCCACTGCACTCTCACATAAAGGGCAACTTCCCCTCCTCACCCTCCTAAAAAGCCTGTATCCATCCATCATAGCACTCTAATCATATGAGCTATCCCTGATCACAATGAGGTTATAGTTCTGCAACTGTCCACAGACTTCTCATTCCCCCTGTTTGTTCCCTATGCTGCACACATCAGTGTTACAGACACTTCAGAGAGGCACCCAAGCATGATAAATCCCCAGAAAGAGCAGGAGAGCTTTCCCCACACGGCTGTCCTATAGGTACTTCTTTCTTTACGTTCCTATGCTTGGGGTGTTTCCACTTCATCCTTTTGCTGTCGCTTTCTCTTCTGTTCACATAATCCCAGGTCTTTTGCTTTCCTATCCCATCCACCACTTCTTCACCAGATCCTAACTGACCCCATGTTTTAGAGGCTCCAGCTCTTGACTGACCCACCATCCACAGCAGCATTTGAACATGCAGGTGGCAACTAGGCAACACCAGACCCACATATCCTGGTCATGACAATAGCTCTGGTTACTACACATGGTGCAGAAAGGACATAGTAGCTGCAGTGCTGGTGGATAAGTGGAGACCAGGTCAGGCTACAGTGAAAGTTATGATGGTTGTGACATACAAAATTGCAGCCACCTGTAATCACACCCACAGAGCTGGGAAGACATAGGTAAAGAGGGAATCCCCTGTAGATACTGCTTTTGTCACAAGAGCAATCACTGTCAGTGGCTGAGGCTCCCAGGGATCTTCTCATTTTTTCTCCCTACTCCTCTCTGTGAGTGAGAACAGTGGGATGTCCTCAGAACAGTGTAGTAACCACTCCCATGACCATCAAAACATCTTTTCTGGAAGGCTGCAATCATAAGCACCACAGGGGAGGGCAGGGAGACAGTAGAAAGGGAATCAAGGAGACCTCTAGGACTCTTCCTCTTAGCCCTTCCAGTATACCCCCTCCCAGTCTCACAAATTAGGTTACTGTAACAGTGACCCCAACACAGCAAGGATAGCATCAGTCATGTACTAGCGAGGTTGAAAAAGAAGGGGATGAGCTAAATTTCTCTTCTCTCATAGGCTAAGCTACGCAAGGGGATACATGGCAGAGAGCAGAGATAGAATGAGGATATTTAGAGATTCCCCCAGCTACACAGGCAAAGTATTTTTTGTACTTATCTGAGGGCTTAAAGTGTATGTATTTATTCCTCTGGAGGCCTACTGCATACAAGATAGAACAGCATCAGACAGGGTTAGGGAAAGCATGAAAAAAGGCTATAATTAGCAGAGGACTAGAGATCAATCTCAACTTCTGCAAAGTTCCTTTTCTCTACTGTTTAGAGGTGGCAGTCCCGTGTTCCTCAAAGAGCAACAGGAGTTCTTTTGTTCCAAGGCCATGATGCAGCTGTGGTCTGTAATACTAAGGAGACTGCCCAACAGAGGAGGAGAAGGTGGCTGCTTTTTTCAATCTTCTGCGGATTGGTGATTAAAACAAGCAAGGAAAAAGAACATCCTGATCAGCTGATGATTAAATAATCTATGGCAGAACAGTGACCATGGTCCTTGCCTGAACAGCATCAGCAGAACTCCTCTCATCTAGAAGATATTCCCCTAAACCAGAGCTTTGAAACGAGATCAGAAATACCAACCCTTTGTTCCCATGCATGCAGCGGTGGGGGGAGTGGATGTCAGTAAAGGTCTCACCCTGGCCCCTTTGTGACATGGTCACTGTGGGACACTGGAGTGACAAGCAATGGACAAACATTTCTTTCATGATACCATGCTCTCGTCTACTGGTTGTCATACCAATCCTCAACCTCCCACTTGCCTTGGATTATGGACTTATTACTTGGTCTCAAGGCAAAAGTCTCAGGTGTTAACATAGAGCCCACTGGTGAGCAGCCATCCCACAACCCAGAACATGCATCATTCCATCCACCACAGTGGTAGATTATGTTCCCTGCTACTACCAGAGACAAGCTAAAAATATTTAAATATTTAGACAGCTAAAAAAAAAAAACACCAGAGTAAATTTACAGACAGTTGAGGAAAACCAAGGAGAATTTTCATCTTGAACACCCTGGGAAAAGAAAATATACTATTTTAAGCACGTAGAGCTAACATAAAGATATAATGATGTAGCCAAAACAGTATGTCAGTATCACTGGACTACGCTTAACTGTGCTTCTACACATTCATTACAGTTGCTTTGGGATTTGTTTGGGTTTTTGGGGGCTTTTTGTGGGGTTTGGTGGGTTTACTTTTAATTAATATCTTATTTCATGCTAAGCCTAATCATTTTACAAACACAAATTCTAACAGTGTAACAACTGAATTGTCAGCAGAAAATCCAATTTACTAGATTGGTCCTGAAAGTACAGGATTCTCTCATTCCAATAAACCCAAAATTGGACAGCCATCTGAAGCTTTACTGCTGACTATCCTGGATCAAAACAGTAAGACTACAAAGTCTCCTTTTCTGGACATATGTAAAGAATAAATAAGCT